GCCAACTTCACAGACTAAATCTGATCGCAATCTCAACCGTAGTCCGATACGGGCTTTACGAAAACAAGTTACGACTCTTGCGGTTTTGCCTTTAGAATTGCGGCAATTGGTCTCCTCTGCTGCGTTCATTGTCCCGATGAATCCGCGCAGGACGCGGCAGTGGCGTCCGATCGCATCTACGTAAAAAGTACCTTTGGCACGAGCGGATACGTTTGCTCGGCTGATCCGCGCGCGAGATTCGCAAGGCGAGCCGGAACGGATTCGCGCGGCCACCATCTTCGAGTGCCGTCTGCCCACTCGCATTTATTTACATTTCACTCATTTACGTGTAGACTTGTTTTCGAAAATCTCGAGAGGGAGAGCGAGTTACTATTGCCAAAGAAACGGAAGAGTAAGCGAGTCTGAAATAATAGGCAGAAGTGAAAGAGCTTCGTATGAAAAATTTTTATGTAACACGCGCAACCACGTTTTTTTAACCCTTTCGTGCCCAAATTATTATTTCATTTTTTTTTATACAACGTTCTATAAAGTGCATTGCTAAATCGCTGGGTCTTTTTGACAGAACGTAAGTGGGACTTACATATCCCAGTGGCCATGGAAGGATTAAGTGTCTAGAAAAAGAAATATTGACGGTGGTTTTTAATAGAACGTGCGGGGTAGTGCGCCAAATTAGATTAAATTAATTTATTCGCTGAAAAATGGACGAGAAACGGCAGAAGGCACGAATGGAGGAGGCAAGGCGCGCCAATAAACACTTCCCCTCTGATTGATGCCTCGTTCACCTGACCCGCCGTCTTGCCAGGTGCGAGTAGACGGAAGAAAAGGAAGCGACGGAGATTATTAATTCTAGCACTTTATTCTACCGCGTGGCCACGCTCCAAATGCAAATTCCACGCGGCCAAAGCTTTTTCGTCCCCACCGAAGTCTTTTCCGATCGAATTGGCGCCGCGCCGTTTGCCAGTTCGCTGAAACAGTTAAATGCGCCATTATGATAAAAAACACTTTGTATCAGACCAAAGAGGAAGCCGACGCGTAATCTGCGAAGAACATATGTATATTGTTTGTTATTAATCGAAAATCATTCGCACTGCTCCTGTAACGCCCGCTCAAGAAAATGATCTTGCAACGACAGCAACGATTTTCTAGGTACGAAAAAATAACTGAGATATATAGAAATTGTATATGCTTTGTACATTTCCTGGCACGAGCCCATGCACTCTTTATGTTTTCCGACTACAACCGTTTAAACATTGTCACTTGATAAGGACTTGGAATTCGGTCGAAACGTCGCAAATAAATTACTGAAATCTTGCCAGTCTGGTCGACTAGAAGCTTTGCATTTTTGTGTGTACACGTTTCGTGCTCGATCAATTTAAATAGCAGAAACAGAATTTCTGTCTCAACTGTTAGCGAATGTTAGGAAGAAAGTGTTTCTGTCCCAGTATAACGTTTGATCGTGGAACAAAGATTGTTCCAGCTATGGTACCGAAATTCAATTTTATCCAACGTGAATGACTAATATTTGGCCATGAAACCTAAACTTTCCAGAAGGTATTACCAGAATGTTGCTGCTATAAATTTTGCAGGCCACACACAGTTTTCTAACAGACACAAAAATTAGCGATAAATTTTTATTGCCACACCTAGAAATCTACCTGCGTTAGCAAGATATTTTTGTGAGCGTCGTTTGATCGCTGCTATCTTGATTGCAATATTTCTTTCAGTATTTTTATTCTCCCCCGTCTTGGAAAACATTTGTTTATTATTACTGTTGACACGTTAGACCTTCTTTATCGTCATTTTATGCAAGCGCTCTCTGTTGCAAATAACATAATACTCTTCGCAAAATTTCATCACGGCCGCTGGCGGTAGCGAGCGCGTGGCGGCGTTCCTCGGTGCCGGCTAATAATTATGTGGCACTCTTACGTGGCGTATACCGCACAGGTGTCCACCGTTTTCCTACGTAGCTGCCAATTCCGCGATGTAGCGGGTGTCATGGAGCGATCGGCCGGTGTGAGGAATGGGATCGGGATTTCAAATTAGCCCGCGCGGATTTTGGCAGTTTTTGACAAAAAGAGTCTCCGCGATGATTCACCTCGTGCGCAAGCACACGCATTTAGATTTCCCGTTAATCGCGTGCCCGTACTCGTCACTTTTCGACTGCCATTTGCAGGAGACAGGGGGTGAGAGGACGCAAGCGTCGTGCAACGTACAGATATCAGAGTGCGAGTGGAGCGTATAGGAAAAATGGATTTCCTTTTTTTCTACATTAAGTCTCGTCAGACGGTGCCAGTTGTACTACAATTGTCGATTTATTGCGGGAGAACGATGTACATTTGCGGCGCGGCACGGGGGGGGGGGGGGTTGCTCTCTGCGGGATAAACGACAACTTCTCATTCATTACCGTGTAGAAGCGGGCGAACAACTTGGTTCGACTTGTGCGTTACTCTTGAAAAATGGGTCAGCCAGGCGGGTTTATAAATACGATAAGATATGCCATCTCTCGAGAGGGAAAGAGAAAGAGCGAGAAGGGGCGAGAGGAGGGAGGGAATGGGAAAGCTTCCGTCTTTCCTGCTTGGCACGGCGAAGGGGCGAAAGGGAGATCCAAGTTTCAAGAGTAACGCGTCGCACCTGCCGAAAAAGAAATAAGTATAATTGCACGTCGTTCTTTGCGCGCGTTTTCTGGCTGCCAGGTTCCACGATCTCTCTCTCTCTCTCTCTCTCTCTCTCTCTCTCTCTCT